CTGATTTAAAGTTTTGTGGAAGATGATTCGTTTCATTCTAGCAGGAAAATGATCCTAAACTGTGCCAGGCCTATTCAAGTCGAAGGAAAAGCAAGTTTTACTGACATAAATGGCTTCTCTCCTCCACAGTGATCAGACCTCAACCCTATTGAATGAGGAAAGGGTGGGACATATTGTAACATAACATTAGACTTTCTGAGATTTTTTAATAGAGTGCTGGAATAATATGGATTCTAGAATTATAAAAATTCTTGTAGGATTGTTGCTAGATAGAATACAAGCGCTGGCTAGGGCATAAGGTGGTCATTTCAATTATTGAGACAAACAAACTTTCGTTGACTTACACAGATGAAATTGCATTTATTTACTTATTAGTGAACAATTATGTAATTTTTTTTGATAAAATATCCGCTTAATAAAAATGTCTATTAGTTTTAAAAGAAATTAAATACAGTTTTTAGTAGTGGACTCAAACTTTTGGAACTTGAAGAAAATTTTGCCATTTTATTTACTTGATATCTCTACTACTCCCACTTGGGTTTTTTCCTTGTTTTTAAGATACTCCTCATTTGAGTAACTTAGGATCCGCACATTATCGAAGAGAGATTGCTTAGCATTCAAGATTTTTAATCGTCCCACTATGCCCTGGCAATCAACCGAAATTACATTTCACAGCTTTATTAGTCTTACCTCATTTCTGCTATAATAATTGGATTATATATATGCTTCCTATTGTCCTTTTTACCTTAAGGAGACAATGTATGTGATATCTAAAGATTACTTTTCATTACTTATGGAAGTGTATCTTATTTCTTGTACATTAGTGAGTATCGGGCTTTAGATAATAGCACATTAAATAAATAAACCTGCTAGATACCTCCAGGTTTGGTAAGCCCTGTTTCCTTTTGTGGTTGCAAAGGATGGCATCTTCTTCAAATATCGCGCTCTCTTTCGCCTCATTGCATCAATTGTATTCCTTTCATTGATTAATTGGCATATTAATGTTCAACTTATTAATCTACTACCCTTTTTCCGTTCCCTTCGATCAACCCAATTTCTTTTCCTGTCTCTAATCTTTCATATTTTCATTTTTATCCCGCTTTCCTATTTCAATCAATTTTCGCAAGATGTCTCAACGCGATGTTCTCTATCCGCCGTGAGCGCCACTAATCTCTTAAAAACAGCTTGCCTAGTCAGTCCCTCGGGACTTGGGCTTGCCTCTTCCACGAGCAGTGGCAACGTGGTAGCCGCCTCCACTGCCAGCAGTCAAGCAACCGGTTCGGCCAGTTCGGCTGTGCTCCTCTCCACGGCAAGGAATTCTATGGTATTTTTTTAAAATCTAAAGCATTTAAGTGATTAAGTATTAAACTTTTGCTCTTCACCCAAGAGTGTTTTTGCGGCTTATAGAACATTGTTGCCACCATAATTTCTTTAGTAACCTTGTTTTGGCTCATTACAGCACATGTCCAACTGTCTCTTTTAAGAAATAATGGTTCAATTCCGGTACATTCGTCCTCGGATCTTATTAATTCCACGCTACGATAGTCCAGAATCACTTTATGTTTCTATAGATAGTAAAAATATTTTGCTTGAAATTTGTTGAGCCCCTGTTTTCCA